ACATCCGAAAGAATCCTTTCGCTTGTACGATCGTTACGGAGATAAATTTCGAGCATTTCAAGAAGTCCACCCTCCGTTCTTCGCATATTTCTAAAGCCACGGATTTTTCTGTCGAATTTCTTTCGGGAGACTGTCAATCGTGAAATTGTCAGGGATTAAATCAACGATGAATAGAATACATTTATCTTTTAGAAAGGGGTTGTTTATTTTATTGTGGGTTTTGATGGACTTCTCAACAAAATACTGTGATCATTTTATTTGGTATGTTGCTGGGAATATGCTCTAAGAAGGTTAAGTTAAATTTATTATTCAAAATTTAGTTTTATATTTTTTAATTTTGAAAGGGTTTAGAAATAATGCTACCACCGTCATCTACTGTTGGACGAAAGAATTAATGGAACCAAAAATTTTGTTCCTCTTTGTGAAAATATAAAAGAAGTGTAAAACCTATTTATCGATTTTAATAAATATAAAATAAATTCAATTAACTTTGAATTGTTTTACTTTTACTAAACAATTATCAAGTTTTAACCATTTTTAGGTTAATTCAATGTGCTGCGACCTAGCGGTAGAAAGTGAGAACTAACTAAAGTACAGTTTCAAAAGTGTGTAGTTCACCCTGTTCGCCGGAGAGATGGCGCCAGTAGTTCAATATTTTTTTTAATTAAATTAACATTGATTTCATTAATTAATATGCTATTAATATTGATTCTATCAATAAATACATTTGTCTAAAAAATTTGAGCGAAAATTTTCTTTTCTCAGAGAAATCAAATTTGCACACGAGTATAGATCCCATATCATGCTCTTATCGCTTGCAGATCATACTAGAATAAGACGAAAGCGCTACATGAACAAAAAGTAGTCTAAACTTATCATTTGCGATAATACAGATTTCTAAAACATTTAAAATGTTACAGATGTCTCTGCATAAAAAGTTTCACACAAAACACATCATTACGGATCACGCACGCAGCGTACACAGTCACACAGTAGTATATTTAAGTAACGGTAGACACGGTAGAATGACACAGATGTAAAGTAGTGAGATATGTTAAATTTATAATTTGATAGAACCATGGAAGATATTAATGATAAGTTTTTCTACGTGTACAGTTCTTCTTTAGACACTAGAATACAAATTAAGATGTAAGTTTCATTTGTATATGTATTTTAATTGTGATAAATGTGGTATTAACTGGTGTCAGGTTACTGTAATGAATATTCCTTGTGTCTTCAACGAAAACAGATGGATTAGTATTATTAAATATAAAATAATCTGATTATATTTAATACGGATAAACAGATGATCTAATATTTAACTATAGATTATGTTACTGTAATAGCTAGCTTAATTGAAGTATGGGTCATTAATGTTTAATAATAACTATAATGACATATTTTTTATAGAGGAACTTTAGAAGGCAAAAGGCAACGACCAGAATATGACAAATTACTTATTGATCCTATGTTAAAATATTGTGGTTTGTATGGAACCAATGGAGGACGTGGAGATTTAGCAGCTTCTCTACAAGTTTGGGCTGGTGGAAGACCACTTGCTTTACCTGTTCACACAGCTTACAAACATTTTACATCACGTTGGAAGTATGTATGACCTTGATACATTGAATTTATTTACAATCATTTCAATACTTTGTATTCTTATAGTTGGAATCAATGGGTCACGCTTCCTATTTCTTATTCTGACTTACCACGAGATGCTCAGCTCTGTATAAGTTTATATGACTGTGCTGGACCTGGTAGACAATTACCAGTTGGTGGTACAACTATATCCCTGTTTGGAAAACATGGAGTATTCCGACAAGGAATGTTAGACCTTAGGGTATGGCCTGGAGTAGAAGCGAATGGTGATGTACCTACTAGTACACCAGGAAAGACTAGAGATCACAGGAAAGAGCAGATGCAACGATTAGCAAAACTAGTTAAAAAACATAGAAATGGTCAAATCAATAAAATTGATTGGTTGGATCGATTAACATTTAGGGAGATCGAGTTAATTAATGAAAGGGAAAAGAGAGTATCCGAATATTTGTATTTAATGATTGAGTTTCCAGAAGTAACTATGGATGGTATACCGGTATGAAAATGATAATGAAGTAAATAATAACAAAACTATTATAACATTGCAAAACAAAATCTATGCATTTTTGTTTACTTATTCCAGTACTCTGTAGTATATTATGAAAAAGACGGAGACGAAGTCGTTCAACACAGGTCACAACCAGATGTTGTAACTCTTCCGGATTATGAAATCTTACAAGTAAGTACGATTATAAGGGGTTGCACTATACTTTATTTATACTTCATGAATGTTTTTGTTATTAGGAAAATCTTGTAGAAGCAAAGCATCACAAATTGGCTAGGAGTTTGCGTAGCGGTGGTCATACAAAAGAATTAAAACCAACTTCGAGTGTACGCGATGCTTTAAACACGATACTAAGTTATCCACCAACGACGGCTCTTTCTACGGAAGAACAAGATCTAATTTGGAAATACAGATTTTATTTGTCAAACCAAAAGAAAGCCTTAACAAAATTTGTAAAATGTGTAAATTGGAAAGTTGCTGGAGAGGAACGGCAAGCCTTAGAAATGCTGGCATTATGGGCACCACCTGATCCTGAAGACGCGTTAGAGCTACTTGGTCCAGCATTCACCCATCCAGCTGTTAGAAGATATGCCATAGGTCGACTTAATCAAGCACCCGATGATGATTTAATGTTGTACTTATTACAATTAGTGCAAGCTTTAAAATATGAAGACTTCGAAAGTATTAAAAAAGCACACCAAACATTAATGAAGGAAAAGGAATGCGAAAAGGTTGAGAGATTAGATAGAGATGTACAAATTAACGAATCTTCGTCTACACCTATAACAACTGTAAGTAATCTTGTGAAATATATGTTGAATTTCTGATTGTTACAAATAGTATACATGATTTTCAGTCTAGTGAGTCCGAGAATGGACACTTTTCAACAAGTCAAGATTGTCTTATGGATTTAGCATCTTTCCTGATTACTCGTGCGTGTCAAAATACCACATTAGCCAACTACTTTTATTGGTATCTATCTATCGAATGTGAAGATCAGAACGATCCATCGATAAGTGCGAAACAGGATACACGTGTCAAGGAAATGTACATTACCGTCATGTCAATGTTTTCAACAATGCTAGCTCAAGGAAATACTGTTTGGCAGAAAAGAAGGGCGTTCCTTCTACGTCAAAAAATGTTCATTGACCAATTAGTAGCATTGGTGAAAGCAGTCGCGCGAGAGAGCGGGAATCGTAAAAAGAAGACTGATAGGCTCAGGCTATTACTAGCAGATCCAGACCCAGCGTTTAAAATCAATTTCGCAAACTTTGAACCGATACCTTTCCCTTTGGATCCAGAAATTTGTATCAAAGGAATTATTCCCGAAAAGTATGAAAAATTCTTTTCCATATATCAAATATAAGTACGTCAACTGTTACAGTCATTTTGTTCCAGGGCTAGTCTTTTCAAATCAGCTCTCATGCCGTCTAAATTAACTTTTCTGACAACAGACAACAGCGAATATATTGCGATTTTTAAACATGGCGATGACCTTAGGCAAGATCAGTTAATTCTTCAAACAATAGCGCTAATGGATAAATTATTGAGAAGAGAAAATTTAGATTTAAAACTTACTCCTTATAGGTAATTATTTTTAGAATAAATTATGTAATATGATGTCTGAACTTTAAAAATATTATTAGGGTACTTGCAACGAGTACTAGACATGGATTTTTACAATTCATCGAGTCTACAACAGTCGCGGAAGTTTTAGCTAGTGAAGGTTCAATATTAAGTTTCTTCCGAAAGCATCATCCTTCTGAAACTGGTCCTTATGGTGTTGTTCCTGAAGTTATGGATACTTACGTACGAAGTTGTGGTAAGTAATATATTAAACAGAAAATTAGTAATTTATATAAATTTATGTCAAATAAAATTTCAGCTGGCTACTGCATTATAACGTATGTACTTGGTGTTGGTGACCGACACTTAGACAATTTACTTTTGACAACATCAGGTAAATATTTTCGAACTATTTCTTATTATTTAATAATTCAAGAATTGATTATTATTAATTTATGTTGCAGGTAAGCTCTTCCACATAGATTTCGGTTATATACTGGGCAGAGATCCGAAACCTTTACCGCCGCCAATGAAATTGAGTAAGGAAATGGTAGAGGCTATGGGAGGAGTTGGATCAGAACATTATCATGAATTTAGAAAACAGTGTTACACAGCATTTCTACATTTGCGTAGACATGCAAATTTAATATTAAATTTATTCTCTCTAATGGTTGACGCTAGCGTCCCAGACATCGCGTTAGAACCAGATAAAGCTGTAAAAAAAGTTCAAGATAAACTCAGATTGGATTTAAGTGATGAAGAAGCAGTGCATTATGTACACAATCTTTTGGACTTATCTGTAACAGCAGTAATGGCAGTATTAGTGGAACAATTACATAAATTTGCACAATACTGGCGGAAATAAAACCAAATCAATCAAAATAGTGATTGCAAAGACTGTGTTCCTTTATAATTATTGCAAATATTGTTATATTGTATATACATAACTATACATTTATAAATGTAACATAATTTATTGTATTTTGGGATTATTTTAAGTAATAAATTTTTGATAATAGTAATAAATAATTGTATTTTATGCACGTTTGTAAATTACATCAAAAAAATTGTTAATTATCACGATGTGATCGTTTTAATTAACCAAAAATGTGTTATTGCACAACGTTACATGTTTAAACTGTACATACAAATTATGCGCATAAACTACTTCTTAAATCTTGTCTTAATAGATAACATAAATGCTGTTCATTGTTCTGGGTTGTAATAATAGATTGAAAGAAATAAAATATCTTTTATGGAATAAAAGTTTATTATAACGGGATATTTTAAAAGAATAATACAACAAAAAACGTACTCATTGTACATATAATTTATGTAAATATTCATGTATTTATTTTATCTCTTAGTTACAATCGTGTATGTCGTGCACACTGTAGAAATAAAAAGATAATATTGTTAGTGATGAAAATATCAAATTGTTATTGATGTAAGAACACAGTACTGCTATTTTAATTGATATCACTTTATGTCACTTATTTAGATTTGATTACCTCAATAAAGCAATACATATATACCAACTTACGATTGTACTACAAAGTTTTAATAGAAAATGTAATCATATTTTTCCCCATTTCAGAGTATTACATACTATTTATAGGTACAGAAATTTTTATAATATAACTCCTTAAAGTGGAAGATATATGTACACGTTTATATTAATTGAATCCAAAGATTAGTTGAACAATATTAACAATTCAGTCCATCTTTAAAAATTTATCTGGTTAAAATTCATCCAAAAAATTCTACCAAATTTATCATTTTTTTAATCGTGACATGTGCCTATCAATAATTTCATTTTTCAAATAATAACATAATATATACATCCTTGATCGTAATTAAAAACGCCACAAGAAATAAAAACAAATTTATTCTTAATAACATGAGCTTATAAAGAATGTAATATAACCATTTCTACTAGAATATATTAATAAATCTGTCTTGTTTGGAATTTAAAAAATTATTTAAAACAGTTATTTGTTTCAAAATTTTATTAAAAAGAAAAACAGCATAAGAATGCTTATTTCACTCATACATTATATGTACGATGCAAAATACATATTTCACAGAAACAAGTTAATTCATTTATGGATGATACATCCCTATCAATTGCACGGATGTCTTCTTTAAAATTATTTTCCTGTGAATATAAATATATTTCAAACATGACAGATTTCCCATTAAACTTTTCTATCCTTTACAATTTATAAGCACACAAATTACACATCATTATAGTTGAAATAATAGACTTCTTTATTTCTCATAAATGTAAACTATTACTTACAAAATAAACACTATGTATGTAATAACTCAAGCTTTGATCCGCTCAACCATTTATACCTGTGACTATAACATCAAAAATTTCAATCAGCAGGTAGCTCATGAGCGAAAAAAAAAAAAACAAAAATCTTTCTCTGAAAAATTAAGTCCTCGAATAGCCCAAATAGTTTTCACCAGAATTTTACAAATGTTTCAGGTCGTATGTTAATAGTACCTTATTGAAGATATATTGTGCATTTATTTTTATACAATCATTTAAAAATCGTTCACCACGACTTTTTAGTAAAGAGTAGTAGCCAAGTTCTATATGACCTTTTTAGTTCAGCTCTTAATTATTTGTAATAAGAAATCATGATAATGTACAATTATTCTACAATGATTTTATGTTTACCCATTCAACTGAGAAATAATTGATAATGTGTACATATTTTTGCTGCAACCATTACATGATGAAACACATTGACTTGCAGCTTTTACCACTACTCCAATCACCCATACCATAATTTTACAATATACATATTGCATATACTTTGTATTTAAAAACGTATAATTGCAATGAATTTACCAAATGCCGAAGCATCAGTGTGATCAGTTCAATGAACAAAAATTATATGAACGTCATTGTTTCAGAGTGTTAAACAAGATGAATATAATAGGATTATAATGTTCTCATAATGAACCGTACTCTTCATTTATAATTACACTGCTTATCAAAGTTTATGGATTGCATCCATGACTGATATATACATGTATACATATATACACACACAAATATATTGCAACAATATGTATATATATGTATACCCACATGTATATATCACACACATTTAGTGATATTTATATTATAGATATAAATTATAATACGAATCTAATTTTAACCTTACAGCTAATCACTTATTATATTAACATTATATGTACACTTGAAAATAGACGAGTTTATCTATTAATGGCTGTAGTGTCTATTAGTCTATGAAAACAAGGATTCCCCTCATAGCATAATGCTATTATCCATCATAATATATTACCTCTCTGTAGGCCTGGTGGCTGGTACTGAACTTTCTACAAGATCGTGCCTTTCCATTGGTGAATTCTCCAACGTATAATCAACAGGATATCTTTCCGTATAGGTTGGAGTAGCTTCTCCTTGTTGCGTTAATTTCAATTCATCCGCCTGTTCCTGATAAAAGCTTTGCGACGCCTCGATATTCTGCGAGGACGACTGCTCTGTCTTTTCTATGTCGCTTCCAGAGTAATAACTTTGACTCGCTTCAGTTTCTGGCCTGTGGTCGTAATAACTGGGAGAAACATTATGACTCGAGTAACTCGGTGTGGCTTCTTCTGGAGTAAAGTAACTCTGACTTGCCTCGTGTGGATTACCGTCATAATAACTAGGTGTTACCTCCTCCTGTGGATCTTCGTCCAACCTAGAATTTGTTTCTTGCTCCACCGAGTCGTAATAACTCGCCGTTACTTCCTGGTGGGTATAACTGGAAGGTTCGTTTCTGTGATCCGTACTTTCAGTAACAAAGTTCTGCGAAGGAGTTTCTTCTAGGCCAGGCATTGAAATTGGCACCTCGTAAGAAGTCGATACATTCTGCTCTTCGTAGCTAGAAGTTGGTACAGAGTCAACGTGAGTCGATGTAATGTCTGGATTTAAATTATACGAAGATGTAGGAATTTCAGGTACTCCATTGTCATGGATACTCGTGTGTTCCGCACTGGATGATGCGATGTTTAATTCTGCGCAGGGTGGTATCTCACAAGACGACGTACTTATCGCGCTTTCCTGATCAGGATCCCTCTCCTGGTTCTCAGGAGTCTCGGGTACATAGGACGAACTCGCGGTTTCGTCTTCGTTGAGTCCAGAATTATTCGTAGAAACCGAAGAAGTTCCGATACCGTCAGTACCAATGTCGTTAGATTGGGACGGCATGTTTCCTTCTTGACTAATTTCAGCGTCAGTTTCTAAATTTTCTGGGACGTTTTCTGGCTTACCGACTTCGTAACTCTGCGTCGGGAACGTTTGGTCGTCGATCACTTCATCGACGGTCGTTCTATCTTCTTGACTTTGCAAGAGCTCGTTAAACGACTGCGTAGGCGCGTTCATACTTGCCTCCGCGGATGTTTCGTAGGACTGAGAGGCTTCGTTGACCTTCGAATGTTCAAACGACTGGGTAGGTGGTTCCGCTACGATCGCTTCTTCGTCCGTTTCCATGGGCTCGTAAGTTATCGATTGCGAAGGCTCCCGCGAGTTCTCAGATTTTGTGGCAGACTGACTAGGTAGATCAGTGGAATCAGTTACCGCTATTCCGAACTGTTCGTACGATTGCGATGGAGTTTCATGACTAGTCTCTGCGTTCGTTTCCTCGAAGTCTAACTGTAGATTCCTCTCAACTAAATCCGATTCTCCCTGAGACGACGGTTCGTCTCTTTGGCAGTCTTCCGATTCCTTCATTGTACTCGCTGCATAAACTTTAGATTCTGGAGCTTCATCCACTTCCATGCTCTGCTCGTCTAATCGATTCAACGATTCTGAAGGCAAACTTTCTGCGACTTCTTGAGCAACTTCTACTTCGTTAGACGTGGCGGCTTGTTCTTCGGTTGCAGGAGAGTGGACTTTGTTCCTGGACTGTTCATCGAAGCTTAATTGTTCGAGCTTCTTCAAGTTTTCTGATTCTTGCGAAGTGTTCGTGTCTATTTCGTTGGAATCAGAAACGTCGAAACTTACTGGTTCTACGGGAGACATTTTTACATTGGACTCGGATGTAACCAAAGAACTGTCGTCGATTATCGACATGTTACTCGTCATCGACTCATCTGGCTGCTCCGCAATTTGTACATCTATTGTGCTACTATTGTTACTAACTTCTGTTTGATTATCTTTTACTTTCGAACTACTATCTTCTTTAACTGTTGCGTCTTTCATCACAACATCTTCCTCGGACTTAAAGGGAACCTCTTCAGAAGCGAACGTCTCTTGCAGAGACATCGCTGTATCTTGTTCTTCGCTCAGGATAGAAGGTTCGTTCGTTGACACGATAACTTCTTCAGAAGATACTGAAATATCGTGAGATGCTATCATCTCTGATGTCACAGTTATGTCCTGCGATTTTATATCCTCCGTAGAAATAGGTGGCTTCGAAACAAGCATTTCAGAAACAGATACGTCCACAAAAGTTTGTTCCGTCGTTATTGGCGATTCTATAGTTGTAAATTGCACATTTTCTGCGTAACTATCGTCTATTATTGGCATCGACGGTGTAGTCTGAACTTGTGAAGTCTGTAACTCTATATTATTTGGTATTGAAACTGAATAAGAGACACTGGGCATCGAGATAGTGTTAGTTTGAACATTCTGTGCCTCTACAGTAATATTATCTTCCAAATTCGGTAACACTAAATATTGTGTGCTCGCAGGAATCTCTATTTGAGAAATTTCTGTGGTGCTTGGATTCTCTATGATTTCTCCAATGTCCGGCATAGAGTTTCCAGGAATCTGAATTTGTGCTTCACCTGTCGAAATATATGAAATATTTGGATTAGTGATTGTTATTGGTAGTTCCAGAGAAGACGGTATAGTTGCCACAGCAGAAGTTGGTGTGGTTTCCGACTGTATTGGCAAATTACTAGGCACTTCCAGAGGAGTCATTATAGGTTGATTCAAAGTCAGTGATGTCTCAAGTACAGAGGGAGAAGATATCGGTTCTGTAGGAGGGATGATAGTCGACTGCAAAATGGTCTGATTAATCAAACTTGTTTGTGTTAAACCAGTAGTCATTACATTTCCTGCAGGATTCTCTGTCAAACTAATTTCTTGCTGGAAATCTGAATTTGCCAAAGCAGCAGCCAAGATATCTTGATTCGAAGTTTGCATGACTTCTGAAGTAGGAAAACTTTCTGATATAATTGCTTGAGTAGTCTCTGTGGCACTGGTTTGTATATTTGGCATAACTCCGTTATCGAACTGTAAGACAATATTATCTAACGTGCCTGCTTCTCCTAACGAACTGGGATCGATGTACAAAGTTCTTGTGCCGTCCGGATTTTGTGTAGTGCCCTCTAATGACATAAGTGTGTTGTTATCGAGTGGCTGTATTTGTCCTTGTTCATCGATTGTTACCAGAACATAAGTCTGTGTTCCGTCGCTGCTTTCAGTAGGCAGAGCCATTATCTGTGGTTGCGCCGCTATTTTCGGCTCCTCCACTTTCTCTACTTCGCTGCCTTTCTCGACGTTAATCTTTTCCACCTTAGATTGTTCTTTCTGAATAGATTCAACAAGTACGTTCTCCACTTTCGATTTTCTTTCCGATTCAATAGGTTCTAACGGCGGAAGAGACAAGGAGGTAGAAAGATTCGTGTTCACATTGGTCGTAGTCACCGAATTCACTGCAGCATTCAACAAATTCTTCTGTACTTGAGTATTCTTTGTTACGTGACCTTTTGTAGTCATTTTTGTACTTGTAGCGTTATTAGTTGCTTGCTTTTGGTGAACCGTTGTCTTAGATATGTTCGACACGCTCGTTAACGGTACTGAAATTGTCTGTTTCGACTGAATATTTTGCACAGTCGTGATCGTAGGTTCTTGTACTTTCTGGACAACGATCCTTTGCTGCGCTTTCGTCTGTCGACTGCCACGAGGAATAATGACTTTCTGTATGGACGATGCAGGCACAGTTTTCCCTTTCTGTTGAATTTGTGGACTTACACCCGCTACTTGTTGAGTGGTACTCGCCGACGTAATTCCTTGAATACCAGACCCTTGCTGTACAACTGTTTGTTTAATCACTTTCTTACCTTGTATAGTCTTTTGCGTAGGAACAGCATTTTGCAACATTACTGTACTACTTCCACTTTTCACTTGCCCAGATTTCCCTTGAGAAGGCATTGCGACTTTTTGGGACTTCTGTAACATAGGTAGTTGCATTTTTTGTTGTACAGATTGATACTGTATCTTGTTGCCCTTTGATGGACTTTTTGCTGCAATGGCTTTTACTTGCTGTCCTGTTATCGGTGTTAAAACTGTAGCTTTGGTACTTACAATGCCTTGAGTACTTAAAATTGTTCTGCTTCCGATAGCTTGCGAGATAGGAGTTAAAATAGCTTTGGAAGTACCTAGATTCTGCGAAGATAAAATGGTAGCGCCTTTTGTGACTAAAGCTTTCGATCCAATGATAGTTTTTCCACCCAAAGAGGAAGTACTTATTGGCGTATATATTCCACCTTTCGTTAAAATTCCTTGAGATAACGTTCCTAATAGAGCAGTCTTTGCAATCGTTCCTGAAATAGGAGTCAGTACTCCTTTTGACGTTATGATACCTTGTGTATTAATAATTTTATGCCCTGGAGGGATTTTCGATGTCGTTGCCGAAGTACTATCAGTTTTTGGAGCAATTATTGTTTTCGGAGATATAATACCTTGTGGACTAATGGGACAAAATACTTGGCCTTTATTTGTCATGATTCTTTGAACTTTGCCACTTAAGGTCTTGGTAATATTTAAAGGTAACATCTTGGACTGACCTGATTGGGCCGACGTTAATATGACTACTTTGCCACCTACTACTTGTGCAGTGCTACTTGTGCTTTTACCAGTTGGAATAGCAATCTTTGGTGCCGTACCACCTTTCCCTTGAACACTATATCGAATTTGTTGTCCACCAGCGGTCTGTACAACCACGTACTTCCCTGGTGTACTCTTTTGCGTCAAAAGCGGTGGAACTTTAGTCGTCGCTGATGTACTTTGGAATTTGATACCTTTTACACCACCCGTAAGCGGTGGCACTAATGTTTTAATACTCGTTATTGTTGGCTTCCCTTTATTTTTATTTTTCAGAATCGCCGGGGTGCCACTCTTCTTCTTCGTAGGCGAGGTTTCACCTGTGTTTTCGCTCAATTTGAATTGAGCCTGAGTCGGCGTTACTATTTGCGTGGTTGGCGTAAAAGACAATGTCGTTGAAATTGTACTAGATGCAGGTATAATAGACGATATAACAACTGGCATTTGTTCGATACTTTCTGGAGTTAGAACGTCTTCGCTCAAAACGAATGGCATTGAGTTTATGTCTAATTCCATGTCTGCCAAACTTTGAGAACTTTGCTGAATATATTTCTCACTTGCAGTTGTGGCAGATTTTGGGGTTTTTACATTTAACTGTTCATTTTGTGCTTCTATCATTGTAGTTGTCTCTGCTTCCTCTGCTTTCAAGACCTGTAATTTTTTAGTTAAAGACAAATGTGGAGATGTAACTTTCGCACTTGCCTTCGGTTTAGTATTTGGAGATAAAGATTCGATTTTCATTACTTTTGCTTTTGGAGAACCTTTCAGATCACCTTTCTTCGTATTGTCGGTTTCTAATTTATGTTTGACTCCCTTCTGTGGTAATTTATCTAATAATTTTGATTTTAAAATCTGCACAGGTTCAGTTAAGGTAACATTTTCAATTATTCTTGGCATTTCACGCTTTTTTACTGGCACGGCAACGTCAGATGATGGCGAAGGCGTAGAAGTTGACATTCTTGACGAATCATCTGACTTTTGTATATCTATGTTGATGGACTTAGAATTATCTTCGACAGATTGTATTAATGATTTAGATATAATATTAAACTCAGATGAAGATGTAAGTCGATCGATATTTTGAAACGTAGTATCATCTATTTTTGTGCCAATTATATTTTGATCAACTACTACTTCTATGTCTTCAAAATTACTCATAACAGTGACCTGTGAATTATTTTGAGACAAACTATCTAATTTTGAATCTTCAGCTTTCTTATTTTCAGATTTCTCATCTTCAGATTTTTTCTTCCCCAATTTCCTACCCTTTTTCCCTTTCTCGGTCGCAGCAAAATCTTCCGCCGCACCTTTCCTCTTATCCATATGCAACGTTTTCAAGAAAGCTTCTTGGAATGTATTTACTGATTTATCGTCAGCAATCCTTTCCTTTTTCAATTTACTACTCGTTTCTTGTACATACCTTCCTCTGTATCTTGTGTGCGTGGATGTTTTATTTTGAGTTGGCTGCTCGCTTGTAGTAGTGAACTCTTTAAATGTTTGATCAACTTTTTCTACTTTAGGTTTTTGTTCCTTTATAATCGGTTTTGTTTCCGTTTGAGACACTCCTTGACTTATTGCTACAGGTTCTTCTTTAATTTGTATCTTACTGCCTCCTTCTTTAGTTTGCATTTTGCTCCATCCTTCTTTAGTTGGTATCTTGCTTCCCTCTTCTTTAACTTGTATTTTACTCCCACCTTCTTTACTTTGTATCTTGCCTCCTTCTTCTTTAACTTTTACCTTGTTTTCCTCTTTACCTTGAATCTTACTCACTTCTTCCTTAACTTGTATCTTGTTCCCTTCTTTAGCTTGTACCTTGCTTCCTTCCTCTTTACCTTGTTTTTTACTTCCTTCTTCTTTAGCTTGTATCTTGCTTCCTTCTTCTTTAACTTGTACTTTACTCACTTCTTCTTTAATTTGTACCTTGCTCACTTCTTTAGCTTGAGCCTTGCCTCCTTCTTCTTTAACTTGTACCTTGCTCACTTCTTCTTTGACTTGTACATTACTCTCTTCTTTAACTTGTATTTTGCTCTCTTCTTTAACTTGTACCTTGCTCTCTTCTTTAATTTGTACCTTGCTTCCTTCCTCTTTAGCTTGTTTCTTACTCCCCTCTTCTTTAGCTTGTACGCTACCTCCCTCAACTTTAACTTGTACCTTACTTCCTTCTGGTTTTTTATTCGTATCTTTAACCGTTTCCCCGGTGTTCGTATCTGTTTCAAGTTTAACCGAAGCAAGATTCACTGTCTGGCTTAAAAATGTATCCACTTCTGGATCTGCCTTAGTTTCAATTAACACAGTACTTGAATCTTCTAAATTTTCTTTTTTAATATTTAATTCAGAAGTCACAGAAACTTTATTGGCAGAACTGTCGGTCTCAATCGAATCTATTTGTGATAACTCGAACTTTTTTATCTGAGACTTTTTAGGAGGAAGCATGTCAACAGTTTTTAAAGGATCTGATTGCTGAGATATTTCCTTCTCCGGTGAAGGTTCTAATTTACATGTCTCCAAAGGTTGCGTACTAAAATCGTTTAGATCTTCTACGAGAAGATTACTTTGTGTTATTGTATTTTCAATTTCCATTTTATTGTCCTTTACTTCTTCGAGTTCAAGTACTGTATCTTCGGTTTTAATAGCAGCTTCTACTTCCTTAGTTTGTGTGTCCTCTGGAAGAACAGATGCACCAGATTCTTTTGACACACTTGTTTCTTCTGAAGATACTTCTAAACTTTCAGAAACCCCAGTGGGAGTTGAATTTTCCGTAAGTTTTGTGTCCAAGTCCATAAATATTTGGTTCTTGGATGCACTGCTTTCAGTCAGATCATCCTTCAGTTCTGTGCTCGATGAATTAACATTATTCTCTGTTGTATCTAATATATTACAAGGAATATCTGGCTCTTTTTCTGGTACAAAATCAATATTCTCGCTCGTTTTCTTGTCATTGTCTATAACTTTTTTACCCCTCTTTGATTTAACTTTCACATTTTTACAACTTTTATCCTCACTTTCAGATTGACTTTCGTCAGTCCTATATACTTTTTGATCCACGTCCGATACATATATATCTGATTCTATATACTTTTTATTCGGTTTCCGTTTTCTACCGCTGTATGAACGTTCACTGTCAGATTCAGAAGCTCTTCTTTCCAGTTCAAATTTTTCAAACAGTTCGGAAGTGATTATCTTATCTTTTATTCTTGGACTTTCATTTCCACTAGTGTTCCCACTGGAGTTGGTACGAATAGATTCTGATTTTCTTGGTCTTCCTCTACGCCTACGCACTTGTGAAGTAATATTTAACTGATCGTTACTTAATATATTCGTAGCATCTGAATTAGGCACTTGGTCTTGATCTAACATATCTGTATCTGAAGTTTCACTCTGTTCTGGAAGTGTATCGGCAGATTCAGAAGCATTTTCGTCTTCCGTTTCTACCGTAAATCGTTCAGGCAAACTTTCTTCGTCTTTCGAAGATTTTTGTTCCACAGCTTCTGCATTCTTATCAACAGTTGTATCTGTAGATTCTGTTTGTTGATCAGTCGATTTATTTTCTTTATTTAATTCATCACTTTTTACTATTTTTTTGGCAACATCTTTCGCGTCAATATCTTGTGGCTCCGAATTTTTAGAATCGTTCGCTGCATTTTCGTTTGGAACTTCAACTTTTTCAACTTCGAAAATTTCTACAATTTCTAATTCCGTTTCACAAGTGTTAGTATTAGACTTTTGCGTATCTCCTGATACTTTTTCAGATTCAATTTTTTCTTTTGTATGTTCGTCATTCGTTTCTTTATCTTTATCTACAACTTCATTATTTTCTTCCGACTTTTCTTGTTCATTTAAAACTTGCGTTTCTAACTTTTCGCTTTCTTTTGAGCTACTATTACAATCCTCGCTTTCGATATTGTCACTTACAGTTTGTTTCTCTTGCTCTGTTTTTAAAGCTTGGCTCATTTCGAATTCTTTTATGATTTCTTTTTTTTGATTAAATACGCGTGCTTTTTTCCTTACGGGAGGTATAGATATTTCTTCTTCATGAAAATCAAAACAAGATAATAATGATTTTTTGTCATCTTTGTCTAATGTATTAAGTTTATTATCGTTGTCGGCTGTAACAGTTTCTTTATCTTTAGGTGACTTACTAATAGAGTCGTTACTCTCAACGTCAAATATTCTATCACCCTTGTCTGTTTCTAATTGTTTATCAAGATTTGATTTCATATTCAATGAACTTCTATTAATCAAAGAATCGTCTATTACACTAAGTGCTGTCAGCTTTTCAGTTTCTTCAAGTAATTTTTCACTTTCTGCAATAATTTCATTGTTATCTGACATTGTATCATCCTTCTCATTAGATTCCTCTGGTTTTTCATCATCAAACTGAATTTTTGTCGATGAGTTATTCACAGTTGTTAAATCAGATGATTTATTTTGAATTAAACTAATTTCTTCCTCCGATTCGTCTTCCCAATCTGCTAATATAGTATCGCGAATTTGAGGATCCGTCTTCTTCTTCTTAGCGGCCTTTTCAGTCTGTTTACTTTGTTTTCTTTTACCAGATTCACTGCTACTCCTACTTTTAGTGGATTGACTTTTTTCTTTTCTCGCATATTTTCGTTTAGGAGTATCCACGTCCGAATATCCCCCTCTATATTGAGAGTAAGTTTTTACTTTTGATTTTGTCTGCGGCGAATCTCCAGACCTATGACTTTTTATGTGACAAATAATAACATTAACGCGAGAAGAAGTAAAACTACATAAGTGACAAGGATATTGCGGAGAACCAGAGTTATTCGGTGTAGACGATAAACTACTAGGTTGCTGTCGAATTCGAATTTCGTGATCGCTTTCTTTTAAAAATCGAGGGTGAGTTATTTTTCGTACAACTTCCATGCTGTCACTTCTTCTATGAACATCTTCACGTTCCCGTTTTCTTTTAGGAATTTTCTTATCCCCGAATAGAGCAGATATATTCGGTTTCTCTTCTGGACAAAATTTATCATGACTTAATATATCAGGATCACCTCCCGTTAACTTCTCAGCCATTTCCACGTCTCCAGGAAATTTATCCATATACCTGGAGCCATCCTTACTTTTGCTTCGATATTTATCTAAAAATAAATCATTATAAGATACATGATCACATTTGTTCCCATTATTTTTAATTATTTGTTACCATTACAAATATAAAAGTAGCATACCCAGTCCTTTCTTGATGAAATCATCTTTTAAAGTACAATTATATTTATAAATCTGCTGATAGTTCTTCACAAATTCGCTGAAAAAGATTTTATGAATTAAAAATATTAACCATAAATGAGCAAATACAAATTATGACGATGAAATAAAAAAAGTTATTGCTTACTACGTGTCTTCTTGAAAGAACTTTACAGCGGCTATTAAAGGTTTTTTCTGAAATTCGTCTTGAATATCTTCAGGTAAATTATGAAATCCAGTAACTTGTCCTGGCCACCAACAAGCCCCTAGCTTTACCCACACAACGTCTCCGTCCAAGTAACTAATTTCTGTTTGTTCGCACATCTTAGAAATGTACTTTAGCTATGTTCTTTCACAAAATCAGCATTGAAATCGAATAGAAAATCTTTTCTGTCCTTCAGCACCTCAAACGTTAGCTGCACTGATACACATAATGATACAAAGAATTATTGTATTCATCGAAGTACAGTCATGGTACACAGCAACAACAAGTGGTTTTACTTTATTCAAAAAGAAACATGATTAATACGCGACACTGTATAAAACAAATATGTAACTACTAAATAAACAAATGATTTGCCTAAATGTTTGGGACACCTTGCAATTATGTTTCTTTCATTTAGTTTATCAAGTTTAAAATACATACATTGATTACTTTAGCTTCTTTATACACATATATTATTATTATCAATTAATGTATTATTATTAAATCTCCTAAAGAAAACATTTACTGAGCCTTAATTAATACGTCCTTCCAGATCTATGAATTGCACCATAAACATTCGCCTGAAAATCTTGCGCACAACATGCTCCGTTACGAGCACATGAAAAAAAAAAAAATAGTGCGGCAATAAATTGTGGTTGCTTTTACGTTGAATTATCTTGAGTAGCAACCATTTTTGCTATATCGAATGCGATATTTTTCCGAAATTGTTAGTGAATTCGCAAACACTGTTTGATATTTCAAAATACAAGAAATCGTTCACCCATATGCGCGGGCAGACATAAAAATGGTATCGGAGGTGTATTCGCGGGAAACCAGGAGCGAGCGTCGCTCCCCTCGTCGTGCACCGCTTCGTTAATCCTGATCTCGATGCCGATGTTATCCACGAGAGCCACGTCGGGCATCTTAGCCCGCGAATTCCGTGATTGGATGTTTCACACACAGATACACTGTGTGAACTTACAGTTCATCTGACTGTTTATTACAACGACGCCGCGATAGTCGTGCAGTTCCACAATTGGCGAGCGTCCCAAGAAAAGGATAAGTTTCTCTTTTCACCTCGGCTTTTAACACTCGGCCACTGTACACTCGAAGGCTTCGCAAACACCTTAATAACTAACCACGCGACATTGCTGCGCGCACATACAACCGCGAAAAGTGCAAACCAACCCCAAAACGTAATCGACACATTCAACGCTCTACGTCGCTTATACGACGTACGTACATGTTCGGTTTCCCGACTTGCAACGGGGCTCTGTACGATGGATGGATGTGTAGATGGATACTTCCTTCTCTCTCGTTGATCGAGATATCGAACTTACAGTGTAGCCAACTATTGCGCGCCCGCTACGCTCTAACTTGAGCTTTATTTTCTCAAATTCTATTATTTATTCAGTTGGAGTTCACATTTATGATTGACCAAGTTTCTGTTCGCTTTGCGCATATCAACTTTGATTGGCAGAGCTCACTATGTGGCTACGAACAACGCGCATGACCATTATGACGTTCGTAACATCGAACGTGTATACCCAGTGATATTTTATTTTGGATGCTTCATACATCTTGCATAAAGTAGAGGTCTCTTGCAAAATTCAGAAATTTTCAAGAATTAGGTTGATAGACTATATATACAGTAACAATATAGCAATTTCTATAGCTGTCAGTGTAGAGGCATCTAATTATGTCTTTCTCAGATCTTCATCTCTTTCTTCTATTGACATATGTTTGTCCACCATGTATATGACCGATGGATTATAAAACATGCAATAATGAAACAGCACTAAGTAGTGGGAACCCTACTGAAGTTAACCGCGCTGCGCGGATCGAGTATGATCTTCTGTGAAACGAATTATGCAACTTTATTTGCGATCAGCAATCAATATTTACATCACGATTGTTAATCGATTGTTAATATCACAGAGGCACATAAATGTTATCAATCTTAAACAAGTTCTCTTATTAAAGAACTAAAGCTACCAAGCTTCAAACCGCTATAGAAATTATAATTATACTTCGACAATTGCAGACTTTTCGCAACTTGCCGGAATAAATTGTTTGTTAATTAATACATATACGTGTGCAACATTTTATGCTTGAGTTTTTGATTCAGATTAAATATTTTGTATATTTTAATAATAGAAAATATAGTATTATGATTATAATTGTTATTACCACAAATGTAGTAAAATAATAAATGTTATGTATTACAAGTAGTATTACAAGTAGACGATGTGGAACATGAGGTAATGAATAGTACAAAAACTTTAACACAAATACTTTAATTCATATTTCCATTTAATTTTCAATTGTAGTTTTAAAATTGATACAGTATAAAATGGTTTGTTATCAGAGAAGATCAAATTATATAATATTATGAACCGATATATTTATAGTTCTTATCATTGATAGATGGCAAACGGAATTAATCAAATATATGAAATAAATGATCATTTGTTACATTTTTTAAGCCATAATAATGAGTTTTCCATGGAAATAGAAATGGAAAACTTATCAATTTAAAATTTTTCATTCAAAATCTGATTTCATTTGGTCAACAACAGTTGGTACTGCTGTGTCGCCGGGCGGTTAAGTGTAATTTTAGTAATATTTCCCGCTAGAGGCGCTAGTATTTTACGTCGACGTTTACTATTCGTTTCCGGTTTACGTCGTAGCTTAACGACGTTCTTCATTTTTCATTATACATCCGTTTGCATACAATAACTATATTCGCGTAAGTGACTTGCATTACGGTAAAATAGTTTTTATATGATAGAAATCGCAGTAATGCAAGATACGCCTAAGATTATAAATTTTTTTAATGTTAACAGTACCGGAAGTTCTGTAGTTTCGTTATCGATGCGTATATTTACGATTTACAGAAATGGCGACTGCTGTGCCATCGAGATTCGCTGTTCTCAGCATTGACGATGACGATTGTAAGCCGAAGAAAACTCAGAAGAATGTTGCTGCTGGTAAGACAAATCAAAAATCCAAAAACGATAAATCGAAGCAACAACAGCAACAAAAGAAGGATGACAAAAAAAAACAAAACAAGGTATGACGCGTGTAGTCTGTTGTTTTTTTGTTTTTGATTAGCCGGTAAATGGCACAATAGGCGACACTATGGCGGGAAACTTCGTACATTTTAAATTAAACTTAAATTATAGGCTTGCTATTTGGAACGATTATAGTTGACATTAAACGTTTTTAACGCATAGAAAGTTAATTACTTTTATAATAAATATATTTTTCAAATATTATAGTCTTTTCATTACTTGCAGGGGAAAAAGAAAAAATCCAATAACAGTAATAGCAACGAAAATCAACAATGGGAACAATGGAAACAAAAAGACACAATGGTAATGTATAAATTGTTTGTAATTTCTTAAATTTGATTGCCAGTAGCTTGACAAAAATTTTAACACAAAGTTAAACGAGGATACCATAAGTTTTACTTGGACATTTGTGTAACAACTCTCAACCAATTGCGTGTAATAAGGACAGCGCAGGCTTGATATGCGTGAAAATTATAGTTTAATTTCAGATATAAATTGTTAAATCTAAGATTTTGTTTCAGTAGTGAGATATTTATAACTGTTGTGTGTTATCACGTCCAATTGTGATTTCCTTAAGGCTGTCGAGGAAACTTTTGAGCAAGAATTGCATCAAGCCATCTTACTATCAAAACTGGCTTACGAAGAACAACTAGTAAGTGCAGCTAAGTCAGACAAAGAACAGGAACCAAGTAAGAAATCAGGGAAAAAGTCAAAAAAGGCTACTATGACATTGGAGGAATTCAACAGTATGGGATCCAATGCTCCTCAGGAAGCAGTTACACCTCCTGAATGTGGGGAGACTAAAACAAAAGGTAATATATCATTGTCATTAACATTGTAAAATGTCTGCCTAATAAAATGATTGAATTGTTCGTTATAATTTTATAGAACCGGATGTAGAATTTTTTGAAAGGATTGAGAAGGAAACAAAAGAAGAAATTACGAAAGGAAAGGAAAAGGATATGTTAAGGGCAAGGTTGAATAAAATTGATGATGATATCACATCTGCCCAATTAAGGGTCGAAGTAGAAAAACGTGACGAAATTATTAAACAGTTAAGAACACAGGTCGAAAAATTAAAGGAAGAATTAACACAGGTTAAGGAAAGAAATAAAAAACTATATCAGATATTATCTCATGGTGAAAGTAAGTTTATTAGCAATAATTTATTATTGTAAATATGTTTCGTAATTTTATTTAATTTAATTCTTTGTTTCTCAAGTGAAAGACAAGGCTTCCGTACTAGCCGAAGTAGCGAAATTACAAGAAATACGAGATGAGTTAACAACAGAGGTGGCATCTCTACATGCACAATTAGAACAAGAAAGGTCCAAAACACGAACTAATAGTACAGACGTTAAACCGTCAAAACAAACTGTAAGTAGTTTTTTGTTTTAATGACATTAAATGCAATTATTTATTCAGAATTTCATAATAACGAGATATTTATTTCTTTAGAACAAGAAGAGGCCAGCCAGCGAAAATGCCTAAGTTAAAAAATATTTTTATTGGATGTAAAGTACTAAACCATTGTGATCTACAAAGCTTAATTTACTACTAATGGTTAATCAGTTAACAGTCTTAAGACTGATGTGTAATTATTAAAGGTTAAGATCTCATAGAAATGTATCACGTACTTGACATCTAAGTATATAAAGATTTTTTAAGTACATATTTTTCAGATATATAGTTCATTCGATAAAAATATCAGCATGTTCGTATTTTTCTAAACTGTACATTTTCATTTGTAATTCGCCTTAGTTTCTAACGACATTTTACATGAAATTCTTGCGACATCATCTCTCAAACTTCGCGCGAACTTACGTTAGTGAGTTGATACTATGTGAGATATTTTGTAATAATTGTATTCGGTATACTATTCGATAGTAATAATTCTTTTAACGCTCTGTTAAAGCAATAAACAGGAATTAACATATTGTCAAAAATACGATGTGTATCGTAGAAGTAATAACGTCTCGTTTAACATGAACATACATAGATATTAAATATTAAAGAAGAAGAATAAAATATTTTGTTCCATGAGACTGAACAGAACTTTGTACGCAAACAAAATTTCAGGTCCTAAATATACTATCATGAATGTATCAACTAACGAAATAAATATATTTTCACAAAATGTTCCAGACGCGTGAAACTTATTTTAACTGCTGGAAATACTTGTACAAATATACCATTCATTTCTCATAATTTTTATTCATATGGATAATGTCAACCCCGATAGGAATGACCAAGTGGCTCTCTGATACGAGTAAGCTCGCAGTTCATCCAGAGAGAACCAATCCATATTTCGGGAAGAACCAAGCCCGTCACATTGGAAATTTCTGTATTATCATTTATACATGTCTTCGATTGTCATCATTTATACGAACCAATTCGATGTTTTTTCCGCCATTTCCATCACTGACATACCCATTCGCACAATGCTAAGCTTCATCCGGATTATACGCGCGGGTGCATTTTTATGGAAATTTTTTTGTTCGCTTTTTCTGCCTCGAGTTATTCCAGGCGAAATTTTTTTCAACTCGTTCTCGCTGGCTTCAACGTTCAGTTCGATATGTTACACCTCACGTTCCAATTCTTTTTTCCGGCTTTGCTCCATTCGTTTTCGAGTTCACAGAGAGAGGAAAAAAGAAGAGATTTGCATGTACCATGGTAAATTCAGATACGCATTATACTTTTGATTAAAAAGAACCGCGGCTCAATCGTAAGCGGATAATTGAATTAACTTCTTTTTGCAGCAAATCCAAAGAGTATAACCACTTAGGTAAAAAAAAGTGAAGAAGGCAAAAATTATATAAACGTAATAACGTGGGGAGATTTTTACTATTAAATTAAGCTCCTCCACCATATGAAGTGCAAGATATGCAGAGCATATACTTGTATATTATAAAAGTTATAAATTTGAATTTTTCTTAAGAAAGCAAACATAAGCTGTGGTCAATTTGCTAAGAAAAATTGATCGATATCGATTGTTATTTAAAAGTCGCGATCAATTTCGAATTAGCCCTCGTAGAATGGCCGCAATATTTGCGAGCGGTTGTAATCGATAGTTTCGTTTAATTTTCAAAAGGAACCGAGTTGGAAGGACGACCCAGGCATCTATTCAGCTTTCGACTGAGATCTTGACCAATAAAAGGGGCATTAGCGCTAAGTGGACGCCTCGCCTACTCGGTCATAGTCCTGTTTGCTACAAGAGCAGAGGGTGGAAAGTACGAGGGGTACAGATAGCGAGAGGTACAACTGAAACCCAAGTAAAAGTTACGTCTTTGTCAATGGTTAATTGCAAACTTTTCCTCTGCAGCTCCTCTCAGAGCCATATAGACTTCACTCGAAATATAACGTCTAAAAATAGAAAATAGTTCAAGACTTTAAAAAATGCAACAACTGATGTAAAATTTTAATAACTGGTAACTGCGAGACATATTTTAAAAGTGAACATTCTTTATTTCCATTTACCCATTTTTTATAAATTTTTAATTTATGTTAAGTTCTCAAGTATACTTTCGATAACTTTTTTATCGTTACAAAAAATCCTAAAATTATAGGATTCCTTCTCGCAGCAGTTAACATGTTAATTCGACGGATTTGATTAGTCTAATTTACCCTCCTGTAACACGAAAAAGTTTGTTCTTTGAGAGTAAAAGTTGGCGGTTTCGAAGCTGTCGCTGTTCAGCGGGAAGAAACAGGAGTAAGCAGGAGAGGATGAGAGGAAAGAGAGAGCATGGGTAGAGGGTGGGTTTTAGAACGTGGTATGGTAAAGGGGGTGACAGTGGGGATTCATTATCTGACAGTCTATTGTCATTCCTGCGGGCTGAGATTTTGCTCGGGCCAAGAGTAGCGTCTCTGGTATATGTCTGTGTTCATACTGTTCGTATATGTGTAGTGATACGCGATATCTCCCATCAGAAACGCGTTTGAAAAGTCAGACATTTCTTTCGATCCCCCTTTTTTGCTTCGTACCATTAGATATGCAACGGTCAAAGATCGTCTGACGAACCGTCGAGAATCTTAATCTGTGCGGTGCTTAATGTAAGCGTGTTTAACATACGTCATCGCTCTAAACTTTTGGGGTATCAATACATTGATAAATTTATAGCAAATATTAGCAGCTCCGGACTTCAGAAAATTATAGTTTATTTTCTACAGGATTTTAAAAGGAGTTAGTAAAATTCAACCTTGCTAATCTACAAAAGTCTAAAGTTCGTAATTTTCCTATACTTATCTTATACTTTCGACTATGATTTGACCAGCGTGTATAAGTGATTCGAATCGAAAAATTTGTAACATTTAGAAGCTAAATCTACCAGTGATCGTTTCAACATAAAGCAAGCGAAACGTAAAACCTCGAGACAGTCCGCATTTTATCTTATCGGCAGAAAAGATATTCGAAATTATCGAGGGAACGATAGAATATCTGGAACTAACGATATTCCGTTAAAAGAGAATCAAGCATAATTTTATCTTCGTCGAGCGACGAACGTTGAAAAATTGTGTACCCGCAGATCAGTCGGGGTATTACAATCGTAAAAGAAATTCCGTATCCAGACACGAAAGCGGCCTACATTCTTTGTTTTATTCGACAAAAGTAAATACTCAGCGCGAAAAAGACGAACGGAAAATTAATCCGAACATTAGGCAGGAAAATTAAGGGGTTTGCGTGGCAAACAACGGTTGGCACTCGTTATTACGATCTTATTCATCGCGTGTACATCCACGGTGTCATTAACGCCATCTCGGATGTACCGTCGTTCGTGATATGGTGGAGTGTCACCTATGTCGGTTCGTGGGAGAATTAAGACTAACGAGGAAAGCGTTTCTGTATCGTGAACGAGGGGGGTCTTCTTCCAGCCGAAAAAGAAGTTTCGCGAGAAGATCTCGTCTTTCCTCCAGGATAATGAGATCCCTTCGATCAATCCCTATCATTTTTCAACACCGATGCAACCGCGTCCTACGTTTACTTTCCTTATTTATCAATAAACAATTCCTATATAATTTATCTCTTGCATGCCTGTTTACCGATTTCTACCTCGCTGCTTTATGGAGAATTTTTTCTATATTGCATGTAACACTTCTGCAGCTGTAAGTCGGACTAAATATTTTTGTCCTCTTGATGCAACGGAAGGTAATAACATATAACAAGGTATATAACAAGATAATATATATAAACACACAAGGTAATATATATAAACTACATCCTTCCTATTTGTGTTTAAAGAATTCTACCTTCCTGTTTGGTTACACACAGCGAGAGAATTAGAAGATTTTCTAAGATCAGGGAATATTTTTGCACGCGGTCAAACCGCGAAAGCATGTCACTCATACGATGAAACGATTAAAGTTTTAGAAGTATCGATTCCGTGGCGTTACCGTTGACAGACAGAGGGATCGTCAAAGAGCATAATAATTACTGCGCCCGCAGAGAAGAGGCTCAACCCTTTGTTCTATAGTCACTTTGCGAAAGGGGCTGCGGCAGGGAGCGAGGGGGTGGCTTTGGGTGATACCGAGGCTAAGGGGGCTCGGGGCGGTGGTTGAAGAGCATCCGTTTCAGTCGCGCCATTATGTAATTGATCTGGGCTTTCCGTACGCGATGATCGTGTAATGCGTTCCACGTACTCGACGCCTGCGATTCCGCACGGATCTTTTTTCCTCCATCGCTATCCGAAAGCCCCCGGAGGCAGAGGAACGTTGCGCCATGCGGATAGATTAAAAGGAACGTACGCCGGCAAAGGTGAGAGCCGGTGCACGTCCAAAGTCGATACTCGTTTCCGTATCAATAACTTTTCGACGGTATCACGATCCTCGACGATCATTTTCCTAACGGGAGATTTTTCGTTTTCGTCTCGTTCGACGGACAAATTCGTCAACGAGTACGCGACACGTTGTTATAACAACGTCACGACAAAAGAATGATATCCGAGCGCTATCGCGAATGTATCTTCTCGTGTACAGCTTCGGAGATTATTCGCGTTGCAGCCATTATCCGAGTTATCCGTAATTTCTCAGTCACATCGCGATAATTTAATGTGCTTGATTGACGTTCATTGTTATCAACGAAAATCGCCACATACGATGATGAATATAATTAGAAAATGTGTTCCAATTACACGATCCGACGCGGTATTATGTGTTCCCTTTCATTTAAGTAATATGCATGCACACTTTCTTTAAGTAGGAAACAGTGTATACAAGTTAGGCTTTCCTTCGGTTTCACTCCTGTGGGATTCATCTGTAATTCAATAGAATTTGCCTCGAATTTCCTCAGAATTTCCCTCGGATTCTCTAGGATTCCTCTTCTAGGATATTTCTAGGTCTTCAAATTTTCTTCAACACCGAACTCCAGTATCTACCAACTATTTTCTTAACATTCCCCACTTTTTTCCTAGAATTCCTCCAAGTAATAAAAATGTGCCCCATATTGTGCTCCTCCGTTGTACACACTCGATCCCCAGTCTCATACCGACAATCAAGCCAAGATTATACCGCCAGTGTTTTACTCTTTTTCCTTCCCCAGTTTTATTTTGCAACTTTCCTTTTTCTTACAGTCGTTTCCATTCATTTGTTTTCTATCTCCTTCTCAGTTGCAGCCTTCCTGCTCGACGCACACACGCACGCAATCGCTGCTAGATGTTTAATTAAAGTTGTTTGCGCGAGCAAGTTCGGAAACTACGGGGATAAGTTACGAACGGGAAGCAACGAAGGGGCCATTTAATTGTCCTCGCGCTTAGTGCGTCGCATCGTTCGGGATTTATGTTCGTCACGGTGTCACCGGAAGTCGGGTTCGGTGGCCGGCTGCAGCCAGTTCCGTCAAGCGGAGAAAAAGCATCCCTTGGCGGCTAGAAAATGTCTCGTTCTTAACCCATTTGCGTTTCTTTCGCGAATTTACTTCGACGCAAAATTTTGAGACTATTTTAAAAAGTTTTAAAACTATAATTAACCTCTTGCACTATTTTAACGAGTCTGACTCGTGACGCACTCTTACCTCGGCCGTGACCAATTTCACTCAAATTTTGAATGAGCTCCAATTTAGAGTTCAAGTGCAATTATAATGTGCATAGTCAATGATTGAATAATAACATATTGCCACAACATTTCAATTTTTTTCGTCTGTTTTAATATTG